TTCATATGCAGATATATGCACAGACATCTGTCTGCTGCTGTTGTCGAGGAAGCATGCTTTGCTAATGCTCCTGCTAATTTTTAATTGTGAAAGTGATTCTAAAAATCACTTCTTTTTTTAGTAGGGCTATATTATAATTTCTCTATTATTAATATCCTTGATCTGCATTAAATGTATTTATAGATACCATAAGAGTGCTACTGTAAAATCTTGAATTTAAGCCCTGAGTTTCTTTTTTTTCTTCTTTTTTTTTTGCAATCTTTGGATGGGCTTCTTTTTGAGGCCAATTCTGCAAAGTATAAAGAGGGGGCTTCTTTTTAAAATGAATGCTGTTTAGTTTGGGCATGGAGGTTTATACCTCCATAGTTTGGGAATATGTACTATAAACAATATATAAGGCCACTTTAACATCAATCTGTATCATGGAGTGTAGTAACTACTGTACATTACTGTATAAACAAGCATACGTGGCAAAGACAAGCCAAACCAGTCACTCATTGCAAATTCTGTTTTGGAGATAATGGTCAAAACATGCTGGAATTTCAAAGTTTTGAAAATCTATTTTATTGCACTAAACTAACCTTTATATATCTATACATCATGCTATGCTGTTATTTTCCTCATTTTCAATGTTAAAACAACAATTTTTAACGATTTGGTGATGGTTTCTGCCTAAGAAATGCCTGAAATCGTAAACTTTGAAGGCTGATTTCTCAAATATTGTTCTTTAAACAGCTGTATGTTTAAACTCGTGTAACTTCATAACGAAGTGTCGGACTTAAATGATTCTTTTGGGTCATTCCATGACAAATCAACCAGAGGTCCCCAAATGACCCCCTCAGATTTTAATGAAATTTGGTCAGAATGATGATATGTTGCACACATGGACACACGCAAAATTTGAAAGTCATACTCCATGTCGTTTTTGAGATATGGCCCTTTGAAATTTTCTGGTCATTTTACGCACTCGCGAATCGCGAAAAGTGACATTTTGAATAATTTCGGATTTCAGAATGCCATATTTCGGCCTACGGACAAGACAAAGAGCTCAAAGTTGGTATTCTGACTTACTTTTTGCCAAATTTTATGAATCTGCACTCAGATTTAAAGTATCATCTTTAGATTTCAAGTTATGATTGCCTAAAGTAGGGTCCAGAATGAGCGATTAAGTTTTTTTTCAATTTTTGGGGTGACCCTGAATAAAAACTAGGGGTAACATGGGCTCCATTCTACTTGAATATAATCTATGGTCACAGGACTACATCCAGAAGTAATAACAATCCCTTTAAATCAGAAAATGCAGAGTCCCAAAATGGGCCCCAGCCAGAAAAATCCTTTAAATGGCTCGACGTTCATGACCCCGGATGACCCCGCGATCAGTTGAAATAATTTTTGAAACTCTAACCTGTCGAAGATAGGTATCATAGTAATATGTACACAAAATTTCAGCTTTGCTACTCAACTCCTTCAAAGTAATGTAACAGGGTTTAAATGTTCTGCAGTCATAATATGGCAATATAAAGTGATGAATGCAATAATTAAACAATTTGACATTAATATTTCATACAAGTTTGCATACACCAATGGTAACTATTTTTTATTTTAAACATGGATCTTGAAAGTAAATTGTTATAAACCATACATCATGCCACACATACCAAGATAAACATTGTTTATTAATTGTTATAGTGGACATTGTCAATTCAATTGATGTCATGGTTATCTCATGTCCAGACATGTTTTTCAAATAGGTTTATTTGC